TTATTCGCTGTGCTCACTGTGAGAGCTTGTTTTGTTTCCACCATTTCGTGGAGGAATACCACATGTGCTCTCAAACCATAAGATCTTCATTTCTTACTGCAAGCTTTAATAAACGGATATCCTCATAATAAAACTTCTTGAAAGGAAACAGAAAAGGCGAGTTGCTTGCTCCTGATGTCAAATAATTAAAGAACTAGGTAAATTGGCCAAACAGAAGTGTTTTAGGGACTCATATGAAGTGTTTTGAATAAAAGCAAAAATTTTCGAGAGTCAAGGAATCCAACATGCGACCTTGTGTCTCTGAAGCAGTGCGCCTATCCACTACGCCATCGGCCGCTTGCCGCATGCAGTTATCGTTCTCAACTTGTGCGAACAGAGCAGAGATTAAATGGTCCGTAACTCCCTTCAGAGAATCGTTCCGCAAATTCCGAGGGCAGATTTGGATTCAGCGGCTCAAGACACGTCCACATATATACATCTCATTGCAAATGGCCGGATCGACCTGTTGGGGTTCCCTTGCAAGCCTTGAAAGTAAAACAATAATTTGTGCAGAAAGCCTACCAGTGCATTTTGTAGAGCAGAAAGAGTTCTCTAGAGTGATAGTTATATGTTTGGTCAAAAAGCAAAAAATCGCTGTAAAAAACACCACGAACTCATTCCTTTATCTCATATATAGCATCAAATATTCTCGGTCGCTTTAATTTGCTGCCCCAATCTTTTGTGATTACTGCCACATTTTCTGGTCCTTCCCAAGCCCTACTTCCTTATTCGAGTTGCCCCACGTGACTCTCAAGACGGTTGCAATTCTATTTGGCAATGTTCAATCTTTGCCTAGTTACTCATCGATGGCATACGACGACAACGAGGGCATCAGGAGGAGGCGCCAGTGCGGAGGTGTCATCGATGGCGCCGGCGACCAATCAGCGTCGCAACTCACTTGTTCCATTCCTGGAATACTGATAACTGAGTATAAAGCGTACCACGTACTGATAACGTTACAATGTCGCAGTTTCTCCTTTGTCTTTCACTATTGTCCCCAATTATTTGAGCCCTTCTATTGGCCGGTAGCATTATTTTTAATTTGACTGCTACAATTTTCAGATGGAGGACGAAATTGCCGCCCTCGTCATCGACAATGGCTCTGGTATGTGTAAAGCTGGATTTGCCGGTGATGATGCTCCACGGGCAGTGTTCCCATCGATCGTTGGAAGACCACGCCATCAAGGAGTGATGGTCGGTATGGGCCAAAAGGATTCGTATGTCGGCGATGAGGCTCAGGCTAAACGAGGTTGGTCCACAATTCAGGAGAAGACATTTCCGAAAACATTTCAGTTCAGGTATCCTCACTCTTCGCTATCCTATTGAACACGGAATCGTGACAAATTGGGACGATATGGAGAAAATCTGGCATCACACGTTTTATAATGAGCTCAGAATCGCTCCTGAAGAGCACCCAGTTCTCCTCACCGAGGCCCCACTAAACCCCAAGAGCAACAGAGAAAAGATGACACAGGTTTGAATTTCTGCTTTCTAGCCCTGTTTCCTTTTCAGAAACCAAAGTTCGTGTTATAGATCATGTTCGAAACATTCAACACCCCGGCGATGTATGTGAACATCCAAGCTGTACTTTCTCTGTACGCTTCCGGTCGAACTACCGGAATCGTGCTCGACACTGGAGATGGTGTCACCCACACCGTGCCAATCTATGAGGTTTGTTTCTATCACTACTTTGCTGATGGTGAGTAGGAAGTCGTGAAATGGAGCGTTTCAGGGTTATGCTCTGCCGCACGCAATCCAACGCCTTGATCTGGCTGGTCGTGACCTCACCGACTACATGATGAAGATTCTCACCGAGCGTGGCTACACTTTCACCACAACGGGTATTTTGCATTTGCTGGCGCTGATGATAGCGCTTTGGACCGAGCAAACAGTCGTAACAGCTCAGTTCGAGCTGCGACTGATAAGGCCACGTTTGTGTTACGACAACTGCGTCATCCAAACGTATTGCAGCTGAACGAGAGATCGTTCGTGATATCAAAGAGAAGCTGTGCTATGTGGCGCTGGACTTTGAGCAGGAACTCGCCAATGCTGCCAGTTCTTCGTCGTTGGAAAAGAGCTACGAACTCCCTGACGGCCAGGTACGTACACCCTCATCACCTGAAGAAACTTCTGTCAAAGCTATGCATTCCAGGTAATCACCATCGGTAATGAGCGATTCCGCTGTCCCGAGGTGCTTTTCCAACCGGCTTTCATCGGTATGGAATCCCTTGGAATTCACGAGACCACCTATCACTCGATAATGAAGTGCGATGTCGATATCAGAAAGGTGATGTTTGGTCTAGTCTTGTCTTTCTTTGAACATGCACCCCTCGGACTGATTTGGTAAGTTGTCTGGTAACTCGTGAGTTGTTTAGGATCTCTATGCCAACACTGTTCTATCTGGTGGAACTTCAATGTTCCCAGGAATTGCCGACAGAATGCAGAAGGAAATCCAAAACTTGGCACCAAGGTGAGTCTCCAGCGCTCATTCTCGGCTCCCCTGCTCCCTAAAGAGCATTACAATAATCCCTCCGTAGTTCTGTTCGCAGAATCCTGCACTGCAACACATCATCTATCGCCTCAGTTCTATAGATATTCTAGCTAAACGAAAGTGAGAAGAGCCGCGTGGCGGCGCGGGTATGTCGTCGACATCTCTCTTTCTGAGCTCTCTCTTCAATAAACAAGAAGTGGGTAACATTGATCAATTCTAAGGCTTCAAAAAGCGTAGGGCAGGAAGTGCGAAGACAGATGAAGACCAGCCACAGCTTACACGTCTCCGCTGCGTGCACCCCAACTAGCGTTGCCGAATTCCCTAGTTGATCTTCACCGGGAAGGCCTAGTATTACTGAATGTGTATGAAGCTACTTCTTCGCTCCTAGAAGAACTGAACTGGAAGAAGTGATGGCGCTAATAGCTCGAGATGTGGGCATTCAAATGGACCCTGTGCGGAGAACGTGGGAGCTTTTGCCTGATACTGAAGGAGGAGTTTTGGGGTGGTGAATCAGTACCTAGATCAGTAGTTCTATCCGGATGGCGTTTTCCTAGTTCTGTTCAAAGTCTTTCGGTGTCGCGCTCTATTGAGAGTTTTCTGACCCACAGCTAACGCTGTGCGCAGCATTCCCTTGTTCGTAAGAAGCCTTTTCTTTTAAATTTGACAAATATATCCGTCATTTTTCAGCACGATGAAGATCAAGATCATTGCACCACCCGAGAGGAAGTATTCCGTATGGATCGGAGGATCCATCCTTGCCTCCTCTGTCCACCTTCCAACAGATGTGGATCTCTAAGCAAGAATACGATGAATCTGGTCCATCGATCGTTCACCGCAAATGCTTCTAAGCAAGGACCCCCCCTACAAATGTAAATTAACAGAGAATAAATATTTGATTGTTTGGATAGAATATGTCTACCTCTCGTGTCCAAGTAACCGGATATGGGACATAAGGCCCTTATTATGGCAACGCGCACTAGTAGTATCGCTAACTGGTTGACTACTGCACGTCCGCGGTAAATAGATTACATTCTGGTGCGAATGGCGCGTACAAGCGCCACTTGCGACGCCTTTTCCGCTGTCCGGATGTTATGGACGCACAGCAGAGGGATCAATCATGTTTGCACAGAAGCTCTACTGTCTAACTGTGATTATCCGAGGCTATGAGGGCTCAGCGATGATTCACGTGAGTAATATATTAGGTCATCCCATTCAAAAGTGCCGAGACATATAGAGGAATGGCAGAAAAGCAAAGGGGATAGGGCAGCGGGCTACTATACCATTTGGAGGCTAGTACCTTTAGCTATGTATCTGTGAAATTTGGCGAACCTACCCACAGAAGAAGTTCTCGAGAAATTGAAAAGAAGCCTGAGTGGTGAAAATCAGCGCCGGATTTTCAAATCAGGCGTCATAAGAGGGAAGTGCGCTGCTCAAATTTGACCTGCGCCGGACCAGTAGTTGTGTGTAATGGTGTTCTCGAAATACAAGGTGGAAGGTTTGGTTCAGGAGCCCGAAGAAGGAAGAAAGGAAAAAATTTGTTGTCGTGGATGGTCCCATAATGTTCATCCTGCACAAGAAAAAAGGGTGGATGAAGTCAAGCGCTGAATATCTGATCACAGAGCCTGGACCTTTGTCGAGCTTCCCCGCGAGTCTGACATCCCAGCTGCAACTGCTGCCCGAGTTATGTCCGACAAATGGTCAAGAGGATGTGCGCATGGGTACCCATTTTCTTAAAGAAGAAAAGTCTTCTTAAAGAAGCTTGAACGCAGTACCGATTCTATGCCTCTAGCAGTAATGTTCTCAGCATGACATGTCTGT